TGGAGTACGTGCAGAGGAAGGCCAGCGGAACCGCAGGAGCGCTCTCACGGATGCTCCTCAACACCAGAGGTCCGAAGCAGGCAACGCGGAAGCTCCTGACGAGTGTTGTGACGTCGCAGATCCTGTACGCAGCGCCCGCGTGGGCGAAAGCCGCTCAGGTAAAGACCTACATGCGAGGCGTTGAGGCGACGTACAGGCTGTGTGCCCTACGAATAGCGTGCTCGTTCCGGACTGTGTCGGACGAAGCAGCGCTGGTCATTGCGGGGCAAGTCCCACTCAGGGAGCTAATAAGGGAGAGAGTGGAGATCCATACAGCCGTGCAGGGCGAAAGCGAGGCGACAAGAGCAGAGCTGAAGGCTGTAGCGAGGAGGAACAGCGTCAGCAGATGGCAGAACCAGTGGGACAGATCAACTAAGGGGCGCTGGACTTACACCCTCATACCGAAGCTGCAAGCCTGGATGGAGAGGAAGCACGGCCGGGTAGATTTTTACCTCACCCAAGCGCTTAGCGGTCATGGCTGCTTTCGCAGCTACCTTAAGCGCTTTGGCCACGAGACGGAGGACTGGTGCCCAGAGTGCGGCACCGGTATAGTGGAGGACGCACAGCACGTCCTCTTCGAATGCCACCGGTTTGACCACGAGCGTCACCGCATGGAGGCAGTAGTAGGCGCCAGGATCTCCCCCGAGACCTTGGTGTCGATTATGCTGACCGAGCCAAGGGCATGGGAAGCGGCCGCAGAGTTCGCCTCGAGCGTTATGCGAACGCTGAGAGCGTTGGAGAGGAGTCGTAAACAGGAGACGGAGTAGGAGCCTTCGAGGGTGCGACGCAATGCTTTGCGGCAGTACCGCGCGCGAAGGGCGCCCACTCCCACTAGCAAATACGGCCCTCATTATGAGTATACCCACTAGTGTAAGAAGTATTATTATTATTATATTGAAAGTATTATTAAAGCTAGATAGTTAATTAGAAGGAATAAACAAATGAATACAAAAAAAACATGCATGTGTGCGAGTGTCTTTTCTCTTTTTTATTTTCTAAAGTTCCAATTGAACTAAGTACACTCCCACTCACACTTGCATATACTTGAACCTCAATTATTTTGAGTTAGCCGCACACTATATTAAGCACCAATGTGTGTTTAACACTTTTCACCAGACACACCAGCTTTATATGCCAATTTTTAATGTTTTATTATATTTTAATTACTATCGACTTGCAACATACATATAGGGTGTGCCGCTTTTTTGGCCTCACCAAGCTATATACTACTCACAGTCCGATTACAGAGCCGACACTTCAGCTTCCAATACGCTAGCAGCTCCAAGCCTCCGTATGTAATTAATCCAAAACTAATTAAGCTCCAACGATGAGCTTCAAATGGGACGTGAAATTTTTCCAAGAAGTTCCTGCTCGGGCGCCAAATGTTTCCGCAACTCCTCGCAACCAGTTCGGAATAAAAATCTCGAAGTAAAAAGCCAAGTGCTGCTGATTCGACCGAGTCGGAATTCAATCAATTGAATACTCTCCTTCTTTCAATTTCGCTATTCACCTATTACATCCATGTCCTTCCTCTTTGTCTATCGATATTCACATATTACATGTATGTTCTATAGCAACAATCTTCTGTAAGTATGTCTTAATGCTACAATTCAATTTCTTAATGCTACAAATTCATTTTACTTATATCCAAATAGTAATTGCTCCCGGCCATAAGCCCTTTGCGCAAATTTGGCGTAAACAAATAATAATAATGATCCAATCGGATCCCAATTTGGTGATCTGATAGATATGGCCATTCCCTACAGAATGGCGTTTTTAGTTTTCTTCTATCTTTAAAATTGTAGNATACGTACATACATATGTACATACATGCATGTGTGCGAGTGTCTTTTCTCTTTTTTATTTTCTAAAGTTCCAATTGAACTAAGTACACTCCCACTCACACTTGCATATACTTGAACCTCAATTATTTTGAGTTAGCCGCACACTATATTAAGCACCAATGTGTGTTTAACACTTTTCACCAGACACACCAGCTTTATATGCCAATTTTTAATGTTTTATTATATTTTAATTACTATCGACTTGCAACATACATATAGGGTGTGCCGCTATTTTGGCCTCACCAAGCTATATACTACTCACAGTCCGATTACAGAGCCGACACTTCAGCTTCCAATACGCTAGCAGCTCCAAGCCTCCGTATGTAATTAATCCAAAACTAATTAAGCTCCAACGATGAGCTTCAAATGGGACGTGAACTTTTTCCAAGAAGTCCCTGCTCGGGCGCCAAATGTTTCCGCAACTCCTCGCAACCAGTTCGGAATAAAAATCTCGAAGTAAAAAGCCAAGTGCTGCTGGTTCGACCGAGTCGGAATTCATTCAATTTAATACTCTCCTTCTTTCAATTTCGCTATTCACCTATTACATCCATGTCCTTCCTCTTTGTCTATCGATATTCACATATTACATGTATGTTCTATAGCAACAATCTTCTGTAAGTATGTCTTAATGCTACAATTCAATTTCTTAATGCTACAAATTCATTTTACTTATATCCAAATAGTAATTGCTCCCGGCCATAAGCCCTTTGCGCAAATTTGGCGTAAAAAAATAATAATAATGATCCAATCGGATCCCAATTTGGTGATCTAATAGGTATGGTCATTCCCTACGGAATGGCGTTTTAAGTTTTCTTTTATATTCAGTTTCAGTGTGAGCATACAGTGTGTATTTAGCCAAGCTCTAGCTCTAGCTCTTATAGTCTCTGAGAACTAGCCGACAAACATGACGGACAGACAGAAAGTCTATTGATGCTGGTCAAGCATGCTTTGCGGCAGTACCGCGGGCGCCTGTCGCCCACTCCCACTCCCACTAGCAAATACGACCCCCATTATAAGTATACCCACTAGTGTAAGATTGTAGCATTATTAAAGCAAGACAATTAGAAGGAATAAACAAGTGAATACAAAAAAAAAAAAAAAATGTAAGATACACTCTAGTATCCACAGTTAACAGAACATAACAAGCAAGTGGTCGACTAGGCTACTGTTTAAATTTAAATTTCGTACAGCGACTGCTGCTATAAAAGCCCATAAATTACACTCACACTCGCAGATACAGATTCAGAGAAAGAGACACTTCGTAGAAGATAGAGTGCGAGTAAGCGAGATACACTTGAAAATCGAGTAATTTGCATTTCCTCAGTGTCATTGCTCGTGTCGCCAGGCGCCAAATCAACAACATACGACGGACGACATAAACTCTCTTGAAATAAGTCTTCAAATTTGTCCTATAATAGGGACAGATAGTATATGGAACGCATACATGAAAACCCGCCAATTTAATGCAAATTGTGATTTAATTAAATTAGAAACGAGAAGGGACGTGTGAGACGCTTCTTACGCGTCGCAACTTTTAACCCGGCACTCAGTACTATATCTGCACCTTAGCGGTTATTTGTCAAGTTTTACATTTTTTCTTCATCTGCCATCTTCATCAACAACACTACTCGCGCCAACACGCTCCTTTAGCTCGCCACCCTCCCCTAAAGCCACACACTGCAGACTCGCGGCAGAGGCAGCGCCCGCACACAAAACAAAAACAAATATAAGCTGCGAGACGGGGTGGGTTAAAAGTCGGCAGAGGCAGAGGCAGGGGCCGAGTGAAGCAGAAACAGAGTGTGAATGAGAGAATGTGAAAAGAAGAACAAAAGCTGCGGGACAGGGTGGGTTTTGCCACTTCAAGTTAATTTCTTCATTTTGGCTATAATAATGATCCAATCGGATCCCAATTTGGTGATCTGATAGATATGGTCATACCCTACGGAATGGCATTTTTAGTTTTCTTTTATCTTCAAAACTGTAGGTTTGGGAGGTTTTCACCCTTTTGCGGTGGCGGAATTTTTGAAATACACTGGTTTCAGTGTGAGCATGCAGCAGTCCAACATTTGGTGGCTCTCGCTCTTATAGTCTCTGAGAACTAGCCGACAAACAAGACGGACAGACGGACGGACGGACATGGCTCTATCGACTCGGCTATTGATGCTTGATCAAGAATATATATACTTTATGGGGTCGGAAAAGTTTCCTTATGTGCGTTACATACAACCGTTACTCTTCGAGTACCGGGTATAAATAGTTTGAAGCCTGGAAAAATGTTTGTCAGGCATAGAATATTATGAGAATATTGAGACATAAAATCAACAAGCCATAAATTATATAAAAGATGGACATAATATGTGGTGGCTACATTCTTATATTTTTCTTTAAAAAAGATAGATTTATGTTTGTTCTATGACAGTAGACGCATCAGCAGCAGCACTCCGATGATCATAATTTTTATAAATAAACTTCTTACGGGGGAGCTTTGAATTTCTCTACGCTTTTAGCTGCTTATGCGACACGCTCTGGGAATTAAAATGCCTTGAAATCATTGACGGAAAGTCAATGACTTCTAAAACCTTGCAGCAGCACCGTTTTTATCTTGATTTGACAAGTCACTGCCAGTTGGGTGGAGCGGGGAGCAGCTATATTTTCTTGACCTCACAAATCCGCAATCAATGCAGAGAATTTTAATCAACTTTAATGCCTCAATCGCGAATGATCTCATCTGTTGAATCACAACAGCGATTGTTCATCTATCTGTTGTATCTAATCGTACTTATTTCTGTATCTACATATCGGATATGTATCTTTTATTACAGCCCATGGACACCAATTTGTCAATTGTATATTTTAAAGTGTTTAATTGACATTCCCCTCTGCCGGCCTCTGTGCCTCCGTTTGAAATACGCTCCGAGTCTCGTCTCCCTTTTGCATACGAACGACTCATTCCATGAGTCAGAAAGTTATTCATTGGGTGGCGGGGTAGGGGAGGTGAAGCCTATACGTCTCTGGGGCAATTGATATGTTCCGGTCTCGTGGCTCTTCTCATTATTGATGCGTCAAGCTCACAGATACAAGATACATATTCGTACTTTCCGCCTCTTTGGCCATTGCACGATATTTCTAAATTTTCCTTTTCGATTTGGATTGGAATGGATACGAATTGGAATGGAAATGGCACTACCATTCCGCGATATCTCCTGACGGGTTCTCAGTGTCAGGTGTCAGGTATACCCTGTACTCAAAGAGTAAATGGGGTATACTGTATTTGTGTGAATAACGGTTGTATGTAACTCACAAAAGGAAACTTTTCCGACCCCATAGTGTATATATATTCTTGATCAGCATCAATAGCCGAGTCGATAGAGCCATGTCTGTCTGTCCGTCTTGTTTATCGACTAGTTCTCAGAGACTATAAGAGCTAGAGCCACAAAATGTTGGCTCCAGACTGCTGTATGCTCACACTGAAACCAGTGTATTTCAAAAATGAGCCACGCCAAGATACAAGAAAATTAAAAACGCCGTTTTTAAAATTGGGATCCGATTGGATCATTATTATAGCCACAATGGAGAAATTTATTTCCAGTGGCTAAACCCACCCTGTACCGCAGCTTTTGTTGCTCTTTTTACATTCTCTCATTCACACTCTGCTTCTGCTTCACTCGGCCCCTGCCTCTGCCCTCCCCCTGCCGATGACTCTTCCGACTTTTAACAGACCCCGTCCCGCAGCTTAGTTTTTTTTTTTTTGTGCGGGCGCTGCGTCTGCCGCGAGTCTGCAGTGTGTGGGTCTAGGGAAGGGCGGCGAGCTAAAGGAGCGTGTTGGTGTGAGTAGTGTTTGACAAAATTTGACAATTAACCACTAAGGTGCAGATGTTGTACTGAGTGCCGGGTATAAAAGTTGTGACGCGTAAGAAGCGTCTCACACGTCCCTTCTCGTTCTTGTGTGCGGGCGCTGCCTCTGCCTCTGCCGCGAGTCTGCAGTGTGTGGCTCTAGGGGAGCCACACACCACATCCGTTTGCCCCTTAAATTCTCATAAAACTATGTGATTCTATCCTATCTGTCTGTCCGCTCCTTATGAGCGCCTAGTACTCAGAGACCATAAGAGGTAGACTTCCAGACTTCTGTATGCACACCCCTGCCGCCCCCCGAAAATCTCACACAGCCATAATTTTAAAGATAAAAGAACAAATTCCATTCCGAAGGGAAGGACTATAACTATTAGATCGCCGATTCATTGGATCATTATTATAGCCAGAGTGAAACAATTAATGTGCAGTGGCTGCGCCCACCCCGTCCAGCAGTTGTTTTTTATTTTTTGCACATTCTCATATTCACACTCTTCTTCGTGTAGGGTGGCTCTGGGGGAGGGGGGCGAGCTTAAAGACCGTGTTGGCGTGAGAAGTGATGTAGATGACAGATGAAGAAAATATGTAAAATTTTAAAATAGCTGCTAAGGTACAAAAGTAGTACTGGGGACCGGGTATAAAAGTTGTGACGCGGAAGAAGCGTTTCACACGTCCCTTTACGTTTTTACTGTCTTTGGGATAAATTTCAAATCAAATGAGCATAGCTTTACAGCTCTATAAGCCAAAATCAACAGACTGGGAGTGGTGGGTGTTCTCTGCAAAACGGGTTTATGAATGAGATAATCTCTGAAGAGGAATCTTGAGCGTACCGGCAATCGTATCAAAAAGTTTTGCGGCGTTTCAGTAAAGCCACATTTAGAGGAGAGTCGCTTAAAAGCCAACACTGATTAAAGACCAACAAGTGTTCAGGGCAGGGCACAGTGTCCAATCTAGTCTAGCGGTATCAAACCCAGAGTAGGAAATTTGAAAGACTGATACGGAGTGACAAAGCTAATGAGCTAAACTTAAAAATAAACTCGAATCTGTTGGGGGCCCAATAAGAGTCTCTTTCAGTCAGGGAAGAGGCAAAATGCAAGAGATTGCTGTCGACAGGTAAGAGAATGGAGAGTTAAAGTGTGAGAAAATACTTCGAGGAAGTCTAACAAGCGGCAGCAGCAAAACCTGTTTTTAACGCGACACCACAATGCAAATTCTTTCAACAAAAAAGCCAAAGGGGGAATCCATTTTGGAATCGGGTTTGTAAATTGACTAATGATACAAGCGAAAACGAGAAGGGACTTGTGAGACGCTTCTTACGCGTCACAACTTTTATATCCGGCACTCAATCTGCACCTTAGCGGTGTTTTGTCAAATTTTAAATTTTTTCTTCAACTGTCACCTACATCTACAACACTTCTCACACCAACACGCTCCCTTAGCTCGCCGCCCTTCCCTAAACCAACACACTGCAGACTCGCGGCAGAGGCAGAGGCAGCGCCCGCACATAAAAAAAAGCTGCGGGACAGGGTGGGTTTAGCCACTGGAAATTAATTTCTTCATTGTGGCTATAATAATGATCCAATCGGATCCCAATTTGGTGATCTGATAGATATGGCCATTCCCTACGGAATGGCGTTTTTAGTTTTTTTTTATCTTCAAAATTTTAAATTTGGGAGGTTTTCGCCCTTTTGCGCGAGCGGAAGGGGGCGGGGCTTCTTTTTTTAAATACACTTCAGTTTCAGTGTGAGCATACAGTACAGTCTGGAGCCAAAATTTGGTGGCTCTAGCTCTTATAGTCTCTGAGAACTAGCCGAGAAACACGACGGACAGACAGACATGGCTCTATCGACTCGGCTATTGATGCTGATCAAGAATATATATACTTTATGGGCTCGGAAACGCTTCCTTCTGTGCGTTACATAGGGTTATTCACACAAATACAATATACCCTATTTACTCTTCGAGTGCCGGGTATAAAAAGAACAAATAAAATTGTTAAGCAGAAATCAGCCCAATTTTTGGTGTGGATTTTTCATCAAAGTTTTCAGGGGAATATCCCTGAGAGATTGGAAACTCTTCCTCGCTGAATCATGAAAGAAAATCACTCTGAAACGAATCCTTTGGTATAAGAGATTCCACCTTTTGCAACCCTGTGAAAATCTTCTCTCTTATCGCCCTTGTCCTACCTTTGGATGTTGCCTGGGTATCACCATATCGCTGTTGATCTGCTTCTCCGCATTGCTGAGGTTTCTCTCGATCAAATGGCGACAACTCTCGCAGAGATTGGACTCCTGGCTGCTCCTAGTACTACTATTATTATTGTTATTATGCTGCTCCTTGGAGTTGTTGTTGTTGTTATGGTTGGGATGGCTGATGGAATTCCGATCGGATTCGCTCTGCGAATTGGAGCTGTCATCAATGAAACGCATGTCCCCCGCATCGGGTGTCAGCGGGGAACTCAAAACGGAGCTCGGAAGATTCGTATCGAGCTGCAGGCAGGGATTATCCATGCCTCCGAGACCCCCATTGGTCGTCTCCGACAGATCCTCCGCATCCAGCATGCATCCCAGCGAATTGGAACGAGTCTTGAGCGGAGATCTTCGCGAGATTATCTCCCCTTTGTCATTGAGGAGCAGTTCCACGGGTCGCGACAGTATCAGCGTCCTTGTGGTCGCCGTGGTGGTGCTGTGAGTGTACTCCGATCTCTTGCTGTACAGCTCCGTGTTGGGATCCTTGCAGGGCAGTCGCTTTACTTCCACCTTGCGACTGACATTGCTGTAGCTGACCGTATCGCTGCTCAGCGTGGGACTGGCGGGTGGGGGGCTGTCGGGCGTCAAGGTCGTGATGTTGTATGTCGCCACACTCGTGTAGGGCGCCAGCGAGGGGGAGCGGGGCTTGGCTGGCGGCTTCGGTGGAGGTGTGGGTGGCAAGGGAGTTGGAGTGGGCGTCTTCTCTTCGCTCTTCGACAACAGATTGCAGAAGCATCGCACACAGACGCTGCTGTTGCGACTGCTGCTCTCGCCACTGCTGCTGCCATTCCCCACCAGACGTAGTCGATCCTCTTTGGGGGCCTTCAACGGATTGATGTAGAAGGTGCTGTTGCTCCGGCTATTCCGATCCACACTGAAGCCCACTCCTTCCACATTGAAGCCCGGTATGCCGCCTTCTCCAACGACTGTCGAGGAGAGATCGAAGCAGCTTCTCTGCAGTTGGTGTTTGCTCCCAAAACTTCCGCTACTGCCCAAACCCTTCTTGGTCTTTGGTTGGCGCCGCAGCGAGGAGAACCAGTTACTGATGCTGGGGCGCTTCTGTTGCAGGGAAGCCATCGCGTGGCTTCCGGTGGCAGAACGGGTTCCTTCTGAGTTCGATCACACTATCAGGAGCCACCCTCCATGATGGCCAAAGACGATGATGATAGCTGATGATGGTTCACTGTAAATTGTATATTTCTTAGTCTCTGCGGATTTGGGGGGCAATCTCTGTGGAGCCTCGCTGCAGGCAATTTACAAGTACAAAAGCGGCGAAACGGCAGACGGGTACTTCTTCTTTTTATACCCGGTACTCGAAGAGTAAATAGGGTATATTGTATTTGTGCGAATAACGGTTGTATGTAACGCACAGAAGGAAACGTTTCCGACCCCATAAAGTATATATATTCTTGATCAGCATCAAAAGCCGAGTCGATAGAGCCATGTCTGTCTGTCCGTCTGTCCGTCTTGTTTGTCGGCTAGTTCTCAGAGACTATAAGAGCTAGAGCCACCAAATTTTGGCTCCAGACACTGCTTCTGCTTCACTCGGCCCCTACCTCTGCCGTCCCTCTGCCTTTGCCGCTGCCGACTTTTAACCCACCCCGTCTCGCAGCTTACATTTGTTTTTTTGTGTGCGGGCGCTGCCTCTGCCGCGAGTCTGCAGTGTGTGGGTCTAGGGAAGGGGGGCGAGCTAACGGAGCGTGTTGGCGTCAGAAGTGTTGTAGATGTAGATAACAAATGAAGAAAAAATTTGAGAAATGTATTCCATCCAATCCCATAAATGAATTAACTAATTAGCAAGTGTCTTCTTCGGTATGAAAGAAGCCTTACAAAGTACCATGTGACAAGGGGCAGGAAATGTCTCAGGGTAGAACCTCAAAAAATAAAAAGCTGAGACGACGACACAAAACAAATTTCACTAATTTCTGGCAGGTTAACAAGGTGATGGCGTTCGACGTTCCTTAGACTAATCGCAGGACATGCAGACGGGACACCACTTCCATGTGCCTTCGTGTGTGTGTGTGGGTGTGTGATTTGTCGACCCCTGCGGCTTAGGGCATTGAATCAGCACACAAAACACACACACTCACCGAAAACCCCAACCTCTTCCGACACCTCCTGCTCCATTGGGATCCTGTGTTTCGTGTTTTTGTCTTGTGATTAATTGAGATTTCAGTTCGTTGCTACTTTTCCCTGTGTCGCTTGCTCGTCTAATGTTTGCTTTGTGCATTTGCTCACAGGAAGAGGAAGTCGGAGCGATAAAGCGTCTGGAATTGTTACCCCGTAGAGCCCCGAACAGGCGACAAAAACGAATCTAATTGGGGCTGCAAACTCCAAAGAGCAGAGCAAGAGACCAGAAAAGCAACAGAAATTAAGAATTAGAGAATATTGGAAAGGGAGAAACAGAACCAGTAACAGTCAAGATAGGAACTTGGAAAATGGAGTGTGGAGTGGAACAATGGAAATATACATAAACATAAACAGTAAAAAGATAAAAAGAAACATTTAACAGACCAATCGATTTCCTTTCAAAAATGTCAAAGGAAATATGTGTCAATTTACATCGAAGGTAATGAAATTTGACAGCAAACAAGGTCAGCGGTTACTGCCGACAATTTGAAAAAATGTGTTTGGAAAATTTCACACAAAATAAGGAAAATACAAGCCCTAAAAAGAAAATTTCCTGACCAAGAAAAAAGTGCGTTTCAATATTAATTAGGATTCATACTGCTCCCCAAAATGAACCAGGAATTCCATTTGATTTTAAATAAATATTACTTTAAATTCGTACAAAAATATTTACTTTAATCAAATGTGAATTTCCTTTGGGGATTTGCAACTTGTAACCTAGACAAGAACTAGACAAGTTAAGAGTCCCCCCACCCGTCCAACTTTGCCTCTTAGCCAAGTTCGAAATGAAGTCTTTTGAAAGAGTTTTGGGTATCCTTTTAACGTCATACAGTACAGAGGAGGGAGGGTTGGATGGAGGGAGTTCGGTGCGGGAGTACGTGATTGGATTTTACAAGTGCGACAGAGTCCCAGAGAGGCATTCAAATGGCATTGCATTTAATGTGATTCTCGCCCGAAATGATTCAACTTTGGATCTCCTCTCTTTCCTTTTTTTTGTTCTTCCTTTTGTTTCACGCTCTCTCTCTCTCTCTTTCTCTGTTTGCTTTGTGTGTTGGGTTATGCATATGGAAACGCATTTCTTATATATCAAATAGCCAAATAGAGGGAAAGAAAAGAAGGCAAACAAAAGCTACATCGAGAAGAAGGTTAGTCAATGATGGGAGGGAAGGCGCTGCCATTCCCAGGACCAGGCCCAGGCCCAGGCCCAGGCCCATGCACAGACCCTACGGGCGTGGTTGACCAAGTTGAAAAACATTGAGAGGCAAAGAAGACAAACACATCATTTTGGGTAGGGATAGGTAGTGGTACTGGCAGTGGCAGGGTGGCAAGGAGAACGCACAGGTGAATGTCACAAAGAAGAGCAGACAAGATAAAAAAAAAAAATAACTAAAAGAAGAAAAAACAAGTCAAATTAAATTTATTTTGTAAACAAACTATCCAAACAGTAGCTACCGCCGTCACAAAAGAGAGGCGTGTTTTCCGTCATTTATCTTAACAATTTAATCTACACTTTACACACACTTTTTACAGACGGAAACAGTTGTAAACTTCTGCTCTTTTAAACCAGAGAGACAATTTTCCATGGCTGAGGAAGGGAGGAATTTGAGTTTCACCCATAAGTGACTTTTACTTTCCTTCAACAAAATGCAATTCAACGCAAGCCCTATGTATGGTTTGCGACAGTTTTTCCCATTCTCTATAATGATACTCGCGGAAAAGAAATCTAATAAAATTGCCATATATCAAAAAACTGCTACTGCAATAAGAACACACAAAATTTCCAATTTATTTTAAAAACCAATACACAACAAAATAAATATACAAATTAGAGGCGTGTATCTCGGTTTTACCGCGGAAAGTAAAAAAATTAGCTAATTTTGTGAAATTGAGCCGAAACTCGCTTATAATAAGCAATAATACGATCACCCGTGGTTACCCCACAACCTGATAAAAACGGCGGGACAAAAGTGGCAGTAAATCCGTAGTTTTTTCGGATAACCTTGCCTCTCGGCAATGGCGGCCCAGCAAAGCCAGTAACACGGAAGCTGGTGCAACGTAATCCGGAACTATGGCTGGCATAGGAAGGACCAGGATGGCCACGGAAAAAGCCACAGGATCAAAGATCGTAGTGGAGACGCGAAAAAAGAGGAAAGGAGACCCCAGACCTGCTTTTTCGGCAGGCGTAAAAATGGCGGGAAAAACAACAGCTACGACGACAAAAACCACCTTGAAAGAGAAAGAGACGAAAAACAAAACTACCAAAACAATTACTAGTGAGAAAGAGAAAGCGGATGTGGATGTTTGTCAGACGTCCGTGAGTACAAGATCAACAACGACAACTAACAACAACAACAACAACAAAAACAACAACAACAAAAACATCAACAACAAATACTACGAGGGCCACAAAGGCCCTTTTGTAGTGTATATAGATCAACTAAGCGATAATAATTCCAGGATCGCAATTAACCAGTTCGAGCTATCCGAACTGTTGATAAAACTGGGACTTGGCGGTATAGAGGAGGTCGCGAGGATAGGCTATGGCAGGTGCAAGATTGTATGTAGGTCGGCCGACGGTGCAAACAAACTTGTGGAAAACAGTGCCTTCGCCGCCCACGGGTACTCTCCCCGGATTTTGCGGCACTTTGTGCAAAAGGCGGGTCTAATCTTTGGGATCCCTGGCCACCACTCGGAGGAGCAGCTCTCGGAGCTGATCATCTCGGACGTCCCCATAGAGGGAATACAACGGATTTCCAGAACAGACAGAACCTCGGGGGATAGGGTACCCACCGGCAGGGTCAAACTATGGGTTAGAGGGGAGCAGCTGCCCAAGGAAATCAAGTTCCTGTAAACCAAGGTAGCAGTAAAACCTTTCGTCCAGTTTAGCCAATGCTTCAGGTGCTTTAGGTTCGGTCATATGGCGCAGCACTGCAAGAGCCTGCCGAGATGTTTCAAATGTGGTCGGGACCACAGCAGTAACACGCTATTCTTCTGGACGTTGATATGCAATGACTGCACCATCAAGTGGCCCATACGACACCAAGCCAAAGCCTGTTACGCGCGGAACCTAGCAGAACGCAGCCCTCCTCCCGCCCAACCGACCGAGGGGCACTGCCGCATGACGGGCGGCGCGATTAACCGAACCGGTCGCGAGCATGCAGGAAAGATAGATGTTAGGCTAATATTCGAGGAAAATTAGATCTAATCATAACTAGACTAAGCTAAGCTATAGCTAAGCAAGCAGAAATTACCAAAATCAGAAACAAGACAAAACTAAAATGAAACTAACTACGGGAGAGGTAGGCTAGTATAAGAGATTTAAGAAGAGGAAGGGAGTTAGTTGAGGATATAATGTGGTAGAGGGAATTATATAAAAAAAGAAGAGGAAGGGAGTTAGTTGAGGATATAATGCGGTAGAGGGAATTATAATCCGAGCATAAAACCCTAAAGGGTTCGTGTGAGGCATAATTCGATCTACATAGTGGAAGGAACAAAGGAATAAAGTTTCTAGTGGGTCTAATGGGAATCGTAAAGTTTATGCGGCTCAGCAAGTCAGGGCTGTCTACATCCCCCTTGATCAAGTTGTGCATAAAAATTACACCAAGCATTTTTCTACGACTAACTCAGGATGGAAGATTTATTAAAAGAAGTCTACTACGGTAGGATGGCAGTCTCACAGTTGCATCCCAGTTGAGGCCCCGTAGGGCAAATAATAAAAAGTTTTTCTGTACTGATTCAATACGGTTCTGATGTATGTTGTACTGAGGGCACCATACACATGAGCCGTATTCTAAAATCGGACGAACAAGCGAGATATAGAGAGTCTTCGTTATATAGGGGTCCTCAAATTCCTTTGACCACCTCTTTATAAACCCAAGCACACCCATGGCTTTATTTACCATGGTAGAAATGTGTTCAGAAAACTTTAACTTGGGGTCTAGTTTAAC